AGATCAATATTGAGGTGAATCAATAGTGGGTGGACAAAAATCACAATGTATGAGATGAGATTAAACAGTCATTCTTAAGATGAATAGTGATGAAGAAGTATTAAAGGACTTAGATTTATACATGCAGGATAAGCAACGAGAGTAACCTGGAGTTTGGTAGTAGACCTCAGAAACGATAAATCGAAGTAAGATTTATGGTATAGTATGATCTATGTAGATGCAGTAAAGTCATACAAATGGATAACCAGGTCTATAAAATAAGATATAGCAATATCCGCAAGTTCTACAAAGTACCGAGTGAAGAACTTCAACATACCTATAGATGCCAAGAGTGACGCCTTTTCAACTTCTGTATTGTTCACAAAATGAGGCCTAAGATTTACCAAAAGCTAGAGGAAAAAAAAGAGAGAAGAGTCGCATAGGCGCAGCTACAAGGTCAGAGTCATACAGGCTACGTGATAGAAGGTGGCAACAGTTATGAAATTGGAAAGATTCCGACCACAAGTCATGGTATCGGAAAGAGGCCTAAAGGGAGGAATGCCCTGGACTTTGGATTTATTCACATGACGGTTGTCTAGATGGCAAGAAGAGTACTAAAGTATTCGCAAGAGCCATAGGTTACGAAAATGATAAGTGTAGCAGTCAACATTCGAGGACGAATGTTCCAAAGGGGGGAATGATGTTACATCCTTTTCATATGTTAAAGTTTCGTCTTCATTTAATTGATGTAGACTCGGGAAAGAGATTTTCTTGACATTATAAGCATTATGCTATTTCAAACACATGATGAGTAAATTCGTGAAGGAGAGAAGGTAAGCAAATAGAAGAAAATGAGTTTCGTTAAAGGTTATCAATTTGGGATAAAATACGGGCCGAGCGATAATACCCGATATTTATGGACTAGTACCATACAAGGTACCACATGGCCATGATAGTAAGGTGTATAAAGTGTATTAAAAGTGAGTAGTATTTTAAGTAAATTGAGATAATTCTTAATTATGTGAATAATTATTTAATTATTGGTTAATGAGGAATTAGCAAATTAATTAAGGAATTAATTAACACATTCTTAGATAAGATTGACCATCCCAAAACATGGCAGCAACATATAAGTCTTTAAGTGACTCTTAGATCACCTTTCTAGGTGTCACTTTGAAAGGAATTCTTGGCTAAAGCCATAAAATTCTCTAAATCCACAAAGTATATGAAAAGGGGTAATGTTCTTTAGAAAAATCCTTAGAGGATTTCTCCAATTCAATAAAGTCACAAATCCATTTCTATGTGCATTCAAAAACGTGAATGTTTATATATTACAAACATTTGTCTCAAATATAAGTCATATGCAAGATAGGATCTTCAACAATTCAAAGCAACATAAGATATTGAAATTTTAAGGGAGTACGGTGTAAACATTCTAAAAAATATCACACAGATTTTTTCCTACTCCAGATATATTAAGGCTATCCCTTCTTTCGTTCTGGCATGATCCAAATGATACAAAAGAAATGAACAAATGCACAACTTTCATAAATGACTCTATTCATAGAAATACTAGAGATGCTTATGTTCTTGATTCCCCATGTGCCATATTATTCTATCATATGTTCATGGGTCTCAAAAATACGTAAGTTGGTAAAATTTATTTCATGATATTAATCAGAGACATAATGGTCTTATGACGTACTGAGAGATTTTATTAACGTATTTCATATTCTATTCATGCATTTATACATGCACATTGACCAATGACCAGATGATGTTATATATATATATATACACACACACACACACACACACACACATATATATATATATATATATATATATATAAAGGTTATGGTGTTATATACGCATCACCACCTGATCAGCTGGTATACGTTGATGATTTTACCCACAGTGGCCGAAATGATATGATGGGATGCCCTCAGAGGCATGATGATGTTATAAAACATGTACCTATGCACGACATGACATTCATACGCATATGCATAACACTATAATTATTTCATGATATACAGAGTTATCCAGACTTACAGGTTGAGTCATTTACTTTATATTTCTTCCATGTCTGTTATGTACTTATTTATGTGCCTTAAATACTCAGTACATTATTTGTACTCACGTCCCTTTTACCTGAGGACGTTGCGTTTCTTGCCCGTAGGTCCCGATAGACAGGTTGAGAGTCCTCCAAGTAGGCTATCAGCTCAGCAGAAGATGTTAGTGCGCTCCATTTGCTCCGGAGTTACTTGTTTAGTCAGTATGATTTAGACGAGTATTGTTTGGTATGGTAGGGCCCTGTCCCGACCTTTATGTTAAGTGTGTACTTTTATAGACTTGTAGACAGATGTTATGTCTACGAATGCTTGTATGGCCTTGCCGGCCTATGTTTTGAGGTTACAAATGATCATGTTGGCCTTATAGGCCCGTATATTACATGTATACGTTTTTATATCAGGTTAGGTCATTCCACATTGAGTACTCCCCTATGTTTATTCTAGTTAGCCCATGATGTCCCGTTTGGCCCATTTGCCAATGAAAGTACAATAAGAAAGATATTTTATACTGTTACTCGGTTAAGTAAGGTATCAGGTGCTTGTTGCGGCCCATAGATTTGGGTTGTGATATGAAGTATTCGCCATTTCATCTAAAATCTCACAAGCTTTCGCATACATCGTTGTCATAAAATTTCTACCGGCAAGTTGGTTGACTACACATTGATTGGTAGTGTTGATCCCCCGATAGAAAGTTTGTTGAATCATAGCCTCCGTCATGTCATTATTGGGACACTCTTTGACCATTATTCGGTACCTCTCCCATATTTTGTGAAATGGCTCATTGGATTCTTGTTTAAATGTTAGAATCTCATCTCTAAGAGTAGTCATATGCCCAGGAGAAAAGAACTTGGAAATAAATTTCTCCGCCAATTCATCCCATGTGTATATGGAATGGTTTGGCAATATTTCTACCTAATCCAAGGCTTTCCCATATAGAGAGAAGGAAATTGCCTCAACCTTAAAGCATCCTTGGAGACGTTTGTCTGTTTACTCCCCCAACAAGTGTCCACAAACCCTTTCAAGTGTTTGTATGCATTTTGACTCGGAGTCCCGGTGAAGAATCCCCGTTGCTCTAGCAATGTGATCATTACATTCGTGATTTGAAAGTTGCCCGCCCTAATGCGGGGCAGGACAATGGCATTTGCATACCCTTCATTCGGCAACACCTGGTATGGAGCCGCTCTTGGTGGAGGTAGGGTGGAACTGGGACGTTGTCTTGAGGTGCCCGACCTCTTCTATTTGCTTGAGGTTCAAGAGGAACCTCTTCAACTTGGTCATCTTCAACATCCACATCCCCCAAAGGCATGTGTCCGAGTTGATCATTGTTGTTTGCCATTTTGGTACCTAAAACAATAGGCACGACGCCAAAAATTGATCATTGTTGTTTTAGCTCCCCGGCAACCGCGCCAAAAATTGATCATGTCAAAATGCACACCTCTAACGAGGTATGGCACAACCTTTTGCAATAATAAAACCCAACAAGGAGTCTGGATCTAAGCCACAAGGAGCTAAGATGGGAGTTAGTAGTATATATTCGAAGTGAGTGCGTGAAGTATCTAGATTGCACTTCCACAAATAGGGTATTGTTTTTACTTATAAAATTAACTAAGGATTGCAAATCTAAAGGTATAACACTAGAGATGATTGTTTTTGAATGTTTTTCAAAGATATAAAAGGCCTAGGGTTGTGACTATGACCTAGATGTTTGCCTAATGGTATAAAGACTTTTATATTATTTTATTGATTTGGGTGTGTTATAGCTCACAACACTACGTTGCCCACTCAATTCCTCTCGGTTAGAGAGTGGTTTTGCCCAATTTGGCTTTCTCAAGTCCAAATAGATATCTATCAAAACGGTTGATAAGAACTCAAGTCGGGTTATTACTATCTATAGGTTGAACCCTTTAATTGGGTTAATCAATCTCCTAATTGACCCAATTCCTTGTTAGCTAAGTTAACCTAGGTTAGGTCTCTCTTTCTCAAGAAAACACTAAGTTAAATAGGCATGAATCAATGTTTGCAACAATTAATTCCACAATTGAAGCATGAACCTAGCTAAATAACAAATATCCATTAATAAACAAGCACAAAATTAATCACCCATAAGGTTTACACACTAGAGTTGGGTAACAACCCTACTAAAAATCTAGTTACTCATAGTGGGTGTAGCAGAAACTAAAGAAGAAGAGATAATAAAACTCAATTTGAAAGATTAAAATATAGAAATCCAATGTTAAACCACCAAATAAGCTAAAGTTGTCTAAAAGAGCAAAGAGAAACATCTACAGCACTTTGAATATTCAAAAACTGTCCTAAAAAGTGAAACTATTCTATTTATACAAAGCTGGATTTTCGGACAAAAATACCCTTTCGGAGGTTCTGCGGCCGCACAATTCCATGTGTGGTCTGCACTATGCTTCAGCTTCACAGGATTTAAATCTTTGCAGCCGCACAATTCTGAACCGTGGCCGCATCTCTCATTTTCTCCGGTCCACACATTTCTGGGTGCAGCCGCACAGGGCTCTTCTGCAGATCGCACAAATGCAGGTGCGGTCGTATAACTGATTTCTGCGGCCGCACAATAATTGTGCGATCCGCGCTTCCTTTGAGCTTGAAATGAGAACTCTCTGAACTTTTGATCTTGCTTAGCTTCTGCGGCCTCACATTTCATGTGCAGGCCGCACTTTGCATGCACTTGTCTTTGATAAGCTTGCCTTCACAATCTGCGGCCGCATATGCTATTCTCCAGTCCGCACTTTGAGCTTCTGTGCCTATTTTTGTTCTTGAGTTCAGATCCTCCTTCTTGAGTTGGATTTCATCTTAGTGGCTCATTTTCCAATACTCCTACAATTAAGCATATTTTATCAGTTTTCGAGAATACAATTAAATGCTTTTAGACTAAAATGAAAGCTAAAAGGGGCTAATAAGTAGTCAATTCCCCACTAATCAATCCCCACTGGAAGGGACGACTTTCATGGGATGTATCCATGGTCGTCCCATTATGGCGTTATACACAGTAGCCTGGTCCATGATGTGGAATATTCTCTCCAGAGTTACGCCGCTGGCCAAAACGGGGAGTGTAATTTCTCCGGATGTCTCTTCAACTGCATTGTTAAAACTAGTTAGCTTGATGTAGCGCGGTACTACCTTCTCTTCGAGTCTCATTTGGGTAAGTACTCGGGGATGGATAATGCATGCGCTACTCCTGTCATCTACCATAATGCGTTTAACATCGGTATCCAAAATTCGTAAAGTAATAACGAGGGCGTCATTATGAGAAAAAGTCAAACTGTCAGCATCCGACTTGTCAAAGATGATACTTTCTTCGAGTTCGTCGTACCGTGTTGCAGGTGATAGATCGCTTGAGTTTGTGGGTAGTGGTGAACTTCGCGCTGTTGATAGAGGCATCATCGCCGCCGCCGATAATCATGTTAATAGTGTGAGCTGGTGAGGGTGGCTTTGGCGGACCTTGGTGTTCGTGTCCTCCAACAAAATTAGTTCTTCCCATGTTGCTTAGCAGCTTTTTGAGGTGCCCTTGTCGCAGTATGTTTACAACTTCTTACCTGAGGGTAATACAATCTTCGTTTTGTTCCCTCGTTAATGGTGGAACTTATAGAAGGATTCTGTCTTTCTGTGTTCGGGTATGATTTCATCTTCGGCGGCCATTTCACTTTTGGACGAGCTTCTCCAGGGCGTAGACTATCTCTGTAGGTGATACACAAAAATTGTGAGTAGATAATAAGGGAGGCATACCTAAGTTCTGATGAGTTCCCGTCCTTGGTCTGGATGTGCCTCCTTCGTGGCGGG